CCATCTCAGTGTCCGATTTATTGTCCATTTCCGTGTCAGTGAGCGTGAGCGCTGAGTTAGAGCGACTGGAGAGGCATGAATTTTGCCCCGATTTTGCCCCTGTTCCCCAAAGAGTCATGGTACGTTCCGGTGATACAGGTTCATGGTTTTCTGTGGCGACCGGTCCTCTGGAGTAGCTGCTGAGTGGGTGGGACAGGCCAGTCTCAGGGCAGAGAGCCAAGCCTCTGCGAGGTGGTGGCTCACAAATCCCAAGCTGCCTCAATGAAAATGTCTGCCCTGTAAATGACAGCAAGTTGTAAAGTTAACAAAGCGAGCATCAATGTGGTTAATGGCAACGAGCGCGGCCTCTTAAAAATCACGTCAGAGAGCAAAAGGATGAGGGAGGGGAAATATTTAAAATTGATATCCTCTTAAGATAATTAACACCTTAATTATGATTGCCTTTTTGGCTAAAATACATTTGTACATCTTTAGAAAATGTTTAAAGGACATAGACGTTTTAGAAAACGTGACGATGGGAATGACTAGTTTTGCTTTTCACACAACTTTGCATTATGAATGAGACAATAACCCGTCAGGGTTTCAAAACACACACTGCACTGTCTGTCCTTAGTTCAGTTTTATTTCACTTCCAAGATATAATATCAGCAAAAAATTAAACAGAATGAAAAACACAATGCTGAGTTCACCTAGAAGTCAAGAAAAGGCAACTATACATACATACATACATACATATATATATACATATATATATATATATATGTATATATATATACATATATATATATATATATATATGTATATATATATATATATGTATATATATATATATATATATATATATATATATATATATATATATATATATATATATATATATACATATATATATATATATATATATATACATTTTTTTTTCTTATTTTGTAAATATGTGTAACAGGAACAAAAGTGATTTATTTTTGATTGTTTATAGAATATTTGAATTTAAAAAGTATTTTATTCTGCAAAGCATTTAATTAATATGTTTGTCCAGCTTCTAAAAAATGCATAACCCTAAACTGCAAATGTAAAATAATTACACTAACATCTACACACACACACACACACACACACACACACACACACACATACACACACACAGAGAGAGAGAGAGAGAGAGAGAGAGAGCGAGAGAGAGAGAGAGAGAGAGAGAGAGAGAGAGAGAGAGAGAGAGAGAGAGAGAGAGAGAGAGAGATGTTTTAAGAGCAAATAAAGCATCTGACTGACACAGAAACGGTCTTTTCCCACCAGCAGCATTGAACCTGACATTTACCGTGATGATGCAGGAAACACCGTCGTTAACACTAAATGTCTGCATTTAAAATAGGAAAAAAATAAATTGAGGAAACCAGCTTTCTTCCCTCAACTTCATCATGTTCCCATTAATTTTGGAATGGACACCAATTAGCACAGAGAAAATGTACAAGAGTAATGGATGGATTTTTTGATTGCAATCTTGTGAGCCCAAGGAGCACCATAAAGTAGAGTAAACTGCTCAAACTTTTTAATTACAGAATTTAAAGCGGTTTCTAACAGCCAATTAAAGAAGAAAGTTACTTATTAAGCATTTCGTCTTATTTTTCTACTTATTCCAGCAGGATGAGAATATTTTATAGGGTCAGAAAAGCCCACTGTATCACACCCCAAATTACTTTTGTTTAAAAATTTAGGAAAATAACACTTGATTATGCCTTTGTGACACACTATAATTGTGTTTACCACTGCCTTGCATATTGGTGGAGTTTTGTTTTTGTTTTGTTTTTTTGCCATCGAGCTTCCACAGAGAAAGTGGATGAAATTGTGAGAGGGTTCATTTTTGGTAAACAAACAACAAAATCCCAGCATCCCATGTTCATACTACTAATTAAGTCTCACACTGGGAAGCAACAGCAAATAAACACAAATATGGGGATTTTGTTGTTTGTGGAGATTTACAAAAGTCTAAAAGACTAAAATCCTGGATTTATTGTCACAATGTCCTCTTTAGACTCAGAGGAAAGAAGAGTTTTGTTTCCATGGCGGTTGCTGCTATCATCCCAGCCATCGTCAGTCTGAAACATTCTACATCTTTTACTTGAATCGACAGGAGGATATTTAACTGGTTTGTAGTGGATGCATCTAAAAGAAAAACAGGAAACTCTTCCAGAATCAGAGTGTTCTCTCGCTAACCTGGTCTGGTGTACTCCGCTGGCTCCTTGTGCACCATCTCCTTGACTCTGCCTCCAAACAGCATCCGGGAGGGGTCATGGTCGAAGGCTTGAAGGGTCTCGCTGGAACTGTAGGATTTCTGCGTGGGAACACGGCAGGCTCCCTCTTCCCGGTCAGTGGAGGAGGCGGTGTAGCGCCGTTCCCGATCCTGGTCTCTCTCGAACTCTCTCTCCCGCTCTCTCTGGCTCTTGGACAGCGAGCAGAAAGGCCGCTGCTCCCTCACCCTTTCCATGCTGCCTGCATGCTGGGTATCCAACTCCCTCCCCTTCACCTCGACACTCCACAGAGGCGCTTGATACTGGATTATTTCACTCTTTTCCCGCTCCCCCTCTTTTTCTTTCTCTCCAGGGCTGTGAATCTCGTCCTGTGACTGATTTCCTCTCCAAATCCCTCCTCCCCACTTCTGAGCCTCTATCGGTCACTTCTTCAGTCCATTCAGCCGTCCAGCTGCTCCACCTGGGGAAAAAAAAGAGACAAGGAAAGGAAGCAAGGAGCTCAGATAACACTAATCCATCAGCTTCATCTTCAAAAGCACACTTATCTCCTTCTCATTGCCCCACGTCTGCTCTGAAACTTCACCTAAGAAGCCTCGCAGAACACTCCTGACTTCTCTAGAAAGATTACTTCCTTACTGAGGCTACTTCAGTCCTTTAAATTAGATGTCTAGAGCGTTTGCTTCGAAAGCTGTCACATTTTTCAAATCAAATGTATTTTTTTTTTTAGAAATGCGCTTCCACTTTCACAACAAGTCTAAAATCCACATTCTCAAGTCAAACCATGAGGCAAAAAACACGTTTATTATAATCATTTGAGTGTTTAAGTCTGAACACACACAGGGGCAATGATGACAAGGGTGACGACAAAGACTCAATACAAATGAAAAGCTACTTTTTTTTTGTTCACGATCCAGCGACAGTTAAGTGGAAAATTAAAAAAATAAAATAAAATAAAATAAATGAATAGAGGCACATTTTTGCTGAATTATTAAATCTTTTGCTTACGGGGCTAAATATGTGAGCACACCGTTCTGGTCTAAGATTTCTGTCTCCACACAGTCATAATGGAGGTAAATAGAAGTTTTTGAGGGTAGTGAAGACACTGAAAAGTCATAACAGAAACGTATTTCCTAGAAAACTCCTCCTGTTACACTTAATAATCCACAGAATTGGATAGCAGCAGTTTCCACAAAAACTATTTATGCACTTGCAATGGAAATGATTCGTGGTGAGCTCAGACACTCTGAGAAGTGAGGAGAAACTTCAGCTGTAAATTTTTCATAATCCAAAATGAGCATTTATTGCAGAATGTGTATCGTTGTGGTTATTATTGGATAATATAGTTGTGTTTTAAACCACAACGAAAGGGGAAAGTTCAAGTTACTGATGAAGTCACTCAGGGTCAGTTTTTCTATTCAGACGTACCAAAATTACAAAATGTTGCAGGGTTAAGAAAAGTATTAAATCTTCAGCCTTGTAGGATTCCAGTGAAACACATATTTTTATTTAATCTATATTCTATAAACAGTCCCTCTGATTGCCGTGCAGTCATAAGAAGGTAACCTTGTATCTGAATTTCATACATTCTTTATTTGGCTCATTAAAATTAATCATTTGTTTTGCAGGACCATCCTTGTCCTTAGACGTGAACATTTTTTCCGGTGTGTATGCAGACAGAGATCAGATTTAACGGTGTTAAAAACCTCTTGCTGTTGAAAACTCCAAGATATCCCTCGCACCGCGCTGTGAGATGTGAACCAGAGGGATGAAAATGTGACCAATCCTCCTTCCTCGAAAAAAAAAAAAAGTCTAGAGTGGAATGTGGAGGGGAGCCACGGTGTGTCACAAGTGTTTATTACCAGCCATTTTCCACTGCCTCCTGACACACACTCACACACACAGCGCACCAAAATTTCATTTCTCTCTTGGCTGAGCTGTAAGACTGGAGTACCAGACTCCTTCTTTTTCCCAAATGAGATCTACTTTGTTTCACATCGAGCATCAAAACATTTCAATGAAGCCTGGATAGTGTAGCGTCACACTGCAAGATAGCACCAACCCCAGAGGTTCCAGAACCTGGAGAAGTCACCGGTGCAGCACCGGAAGCAGGGATAATGAAAACTGTAAGCTCTTCCACACCTATTAAACTCACCCCACCCCCACCCCCTCCTTCTCAAAGTTGCTTGATATGATTCTGTTTCCCTGAAGGGCTTAGATGCAATCAGTGACACACTCCCTTGTAACCCTGACTCTCAACTCTGCACCCCCCTCCACACACACACACATACACACACACACATGCTTGTCTTCCGATGCTATAAGCCATCTCAATCACATCTCATCACTTTTGGGAAATTGTACACACCCGTCCAGACCGGCAGATTAATGCACAGGATGAGTGTGAGTGGACCCGCCCAGAAGCATCCCTGATTACGATCCTCCTCTTCTTTATGGACTTGTAAAGAGATTCGCAGTCTGAGAAACGCCTAATGCTACAGGTCTCACCCACTAAGCTGCAGTCTGCTCTATAGTGGGATTTAGATCAGCGTCCTAATCAGCTGTAAACCCTTGAGTGACCAAGCACGTCCCTGTATAAACATCCCTGTAGAACTCTTAGGATGCCATCTAGTCACAGATCATGCAAATGTCATGCTTGTATATAAGCATTGCATGATGCACAAGTGTCCTTCAGATTTAGTCTAAAAAATAGACAGAGGCTCTTATTGGACTTCTACAGGCTTCAACAGGTTGATGTGCATATTTTAAAATAGTATTATTTGGTATTTTTCACTGCATTTGACCTTATTCCCATTTCTCTGTAATAATTAATGATTTTGTACAACACTTTGGCCCGCAAAGGTTATTTCTAATTGATGTATACAAATCATTTTAATTGGTTGACTTAACTTGATGTAGATCAATTAATCTCTCAGCAGGAAGAATTGGACAATAATTTTCATGTTTGAAACGCCAAGTTAATTAGAGTTTGTTTTTTTACAACGCTTTTGCAGTGGTCTCTAGTGAGTTGATCTCTCAGTAAAACAAGCTCTGGCACTCCTGTTTCAGGGACTAGTAGTGAGCCAGAGGACTGGGGAGCAGAAGACGGCAAGTTTTGGAGTTGTCTTTCCAAATATATTTGGACATCTCACCTCTGACTGAATAAGAGCAACGCAACTCTACCACAGACTTTTTTTATTCTGCAACGTTGATGTTTTATCTCCACCAACAACACAGGCCTGAAGGAGTTCTGCTGTGTTGTGGAGATGCTAATGCTAATGGTTAGCTTCTGCTAGCCAAGACATGCTCTGCTTTCTTCTGGATGCTAAATCAACAACAGTCTTCCCATCGTTACCCGAGAGGGATGAGTCCATGAAAGATAACATTTTACTGACAGGTTTTTCCAATCCGAGAATTTCCCTGCCTATTTTCTATCAGAGGATAATTCAGGAAATGGAGTAAAAGCCTATTTTCACATTCAGCTTGCTTTTAAATAATCAGCTATCGGCCATGCATGTGAAAACTTCACTTATTGTAAATCATCATAAGAATTTTTTTTAACTCTAGATGTGGGAAGAAAATTTCTAAATTAAAACCAGGAAGCACTGAATTGCCCTCTAGTGGTTGGCTGCAGTAAAAGTCCCACTGCGTAATGTAAACAAATGAGGCCTTTTCCTAGTAAAAGATAAAATTACACTTCAGCTAAATATTTTCATGTGTTACCATGTCAATCCATCTATCTAGTAGATAAATTAAAAACAACACAATGTGCATGTGGGGTAGTAGAAGGGGCGTTCAGTGCCACTTTGCAGACTCTGGTTTTAAAAAGACATATAAGCAGTTAACTGGATGTAACCAAGATTCTGCTTGGAGACCACATTCATTTATTATTGCAACACACCTATCTCAAACCCTTCTTAATTGCTTAATTGCTGTAAGTCCCAAAACAACTTTGGAAGAGACTGGTGACCAAAATGCAGACAACACCAGGATACGTTGCAAACAAACTGGAACATAATTTAGACACCTTATGTCTAAATAGCCACACGATACACTAAAGTCACACAAATGCTGCAATCCATCTCTTAACTCACAAAAAAGTAAATGAAGAACAGAAAATCTGACATTTTCTTGCACTTCTGTGTCTCACAGTAGGAATCTGACCTAAGGCATCAACAGGACTATTGTTCCAAGGCTGGGGTCAGAAACCCAGGTAATTGTTAGTAAATGGTTTTTAATAATATATATATTTTTAACAGTACATTTGTTACAAGAGATGCAAACAGCAACCACAAATAGATAAAAGTGGTGTAGTGGTTGTAAAGGCTGTTTGTGTTGTGATTCCACCCTTGGTTTGAATTGGCTTATTAGTCGTGGTAATATACTTGAACTGGTGATGGTCAGGGTCACACGTGTCTGCCAGCATTGTTTTGCGGCTCAGACGCTGAAAAGTTTGGAATCCACTCAGCTAGAGTACACTCAGCTGAGTAAAGGCCAGACTGAAATGCCTTCATTATGCAAGAAAACTACATCTAGTACACCAATCTGTGGAAAGGGTTGAAAGTGCAGACAAGCAAAGATGCATCTCCTTAGATTTAAGTGAACATTGCTAGAATTTACTACGAGATGTGCTGGTTCTGTTTTCAGTTTTATGTTTTTGCTCCTCTCTATATTTCTTTAAAGTTTTGATCATGCGGCTGAATCAGGACAACTGGTCACCCGTGACCACTCAGGAGTGCAGACCACAATCCAAAATTAGTGTCACCCAGAGGTCCTCTCACAAGCCAGCCAGGCAGGCAGTAAGACGATTCATGATCTTTGCAACGCGGCTCCACACTCGTCTCAACAACTCCCTTGCCAGTTGAGTACTGTCCCCCTGATGCCCAGTGCTGTCCGACACCTCTGCACTTCTTTGAAGCATAAACCATAAACCATCCGTACGATAGGGTGTGAAGAAATGTTTCCAAGTCGTTTCGCTCTTCATGGTGGTTGGAGAGGTTTCAAGGGTCTGGGATTTACTTGTTTCATGTCTGACATACAGTATCTTATTCATCAAAGGTGGCTGAGAGGTTTTTTATGCATCCAACGAGGGATTTGGAAAGGCTGACCAAAGGACAGGAACCTTTTTAAGATTTCTCGGAAGCAGTGTGTTGGATTATATAAAATAAACTCAAGGAGCAAACTACATCTGTGTGTTATTCATCTAAAGGACAGGTTTTTTTGATGATATAAGCAAAGATGTTTAAAACAGTGAGCAACGTTGTAAGCAGCAGTAAATCCATTAGTCAGCTCATTAGTGGTGAAACAATTAATTAACCAATTAGTGAATTGACAGAAAATCAGGGCGTGTAGGGTGTTTGAGATTCCTTAAAGGCAAATCCCACTCATTACCAATTTCTAGCCTCTTCAGTGTCAGCAGTTACTGTTCTTATAAGTTTTATTTGATTTTAATTATTGACTAAA